TTAGAACTGGACTTCCACAGAGCAGAAACTCTGCAAGCAGTCCTCAGGTGCATGACAAGAGACCCTTTAACTTGAAATGAGTCAAAGTTATAAATCAGGTAAGCATCATATTGCATTCATCTACTGAAAACAAAAGGGAGACTTCTTTAGTAAACACATAGTGAAACGGGGTAAGAGCATAAGGGCTGTGCGCTGCAGTGAAACAGTGCTGAATGCAAACAAACTGAGAACACAAAAGAGACAAAAACAGATAAAGCATATCAAAAATAAGCAGCAGCAGCGACTAAAATAAAACTACCTTGGCCTCGAAGCCTGTCAGGAATTTCAGGTCCTTGGATTTGGAAAGAACGGTGGCTCGATCGCCGACAGAAGCTGCATAAATCACCTGAGCACACAACACAATCTTGTTTATTTACAGAGCTCCACTTTCAGGCTGAATGTGTCCACATGCATGTGACTGTTCACAATCTCTCTCTTTTTTTTTTTTTTTTTTGCCTTGGCTGACACAAAATTTAACCAAAGGCTCCGACGTTAAATTATTGAGAGAAACCTTGATGCATAAATCATGTTGCGAGGTTGACTGCGGGCAGATTTATCATACCTGTATGTAGTCGTCTGTGAAGGATTCTGGGTAACTTCTGCATGCTCCAAAATCCAAAAGAACAACCTAAAGACAAGAGTGAAATGAATCTGCTGTATTTGACATCTCTATTAACATTGGTTTAAACATGGCATGACTGCCCCACCTTGTTGGTGTCTGAGTTGTAGAAGAAGTTGGCCCAGTTTGGATCCGTCTGCATGAATCTGAACTCAAACAGCTCCCTGAGACACAGCTGCAGGATGCTGGAACAGATCTGAAGTGGAGAGAAGAGGCTTGTGTTCACCATCGTGCTGTCATTTAACAATGTGACATTTCCTTCCACCTTTTGGATCCTATCCTGTGTAGCCTTCTCATGGTGCTGTGATTCCCTGCCACACTGTGTCTACTCTGTCTAAAATTTGTTGCCTTATCTCAGCTCTGAAACACATATTTCCACAGTGACACAGAGTATCACTTCCACACTGCACTGTAGGTGCTGCTGAATAATTTACCACCAAGTCATTTTGTTCTGAGAGATTTATATGAATTTGCACTTGTCAGAGTACAACACATGTCAAAACTTATGATTAAATTGCTTTAAATTTTGTTACCAATTACGAATGGAAGGTGAAGACCTCGCAAACTCTACGCATATTTAAATTTAGACTTGGCGACAGGGTAAGTCTTTAACAAAAGCCTCGTATGGGGGCAGAGATATCCGATCTGCTCCTGCTCATCAGAGGCTTTCAGCTCTAATTGGTTCCTACAATTAGAGCTCCAGACTGTCATGGACCTGTAATTGCAGGCTTCCCAGCCCAGGACAGCCCCGTGGATGATTTTCACTGAGTCTTCTGTAAAACTGGATGACCTTTACTTCACTATGCATATTTTAAACTGAAGCATTTTAATGTGATTTTCTTTTC